AGTCTTTGGCAACACAGTTGAGACTCCTTTGGTCTCTCAGACAGAAGCTTTCTCTCAATAAATATATTATGCTCTTAACTTCTGTTAGAGTTTTCTGGTGCAGTACAGAAGTAAAAAGTACAAAGCGAAAAAGAACACGTTTATTGAGGACGTGGAAAGGAGAACACAACACATGGCAGTTGGGCTGTCTTCTTCGACTGGATACAGAAAGGCAGAGGGTTATATGACCTCCGATCAGAAGTGGCACATGGGGCGGATATTGATGACATGTTAGGAACTGATTTTGTGCAAACAGGAAGGGGAGTTGCAGTTAGGGCTGAAGAAGAAGGGTTCCTGCTTTGGCCTTCCACCATGTTAGACCACTGCCATAATTGTACAGTAATTTATACTAGGGTGAAAACCTTTCACTTTCGCTGTTCCAAAGATTCACTTTTCTATTTTAGAGAATATGAACTTATACTAGACATCTAGTAAGTTGGGAGTTTCATTCCGCTATATCAAAAATATGGGCATGGGGCTGGGGATTTAGCTCAGCGGCATAAGTACCTGCCTTGTAAGCAGGCAGTCGTGAGTTCGATCTCTGGTACCAATAAAAAGGAAAAAGACAAAAAAAAAAAAAAAAAACATGGGTACTTGTGTCATTCAGGATGCAATGCTCATTGTTGGCACAAGACACGACCTTAAACTTCTACTCTCAAGATTAACATAATTCAAATTTAAAAAGAGTACTTATGTCTTGCTCTGTGTATTTGAAACAAAATACAAATACATCCGAGTGCCAGGAGGGTTTGTGAGCTACGCTGCTGCTGATGTTAGATGCTGCTGCTGATATCAGACATCGCTTGGAAGTGCAGGGAGAACATGAGGGGCAGAAGTGCTTAGTATGAGAGAAGACAAATTTGCTTGCCAAATCCTTCCTCTCTCAATAGCAATAAGCTCTTCCATAATAATGACTATTCGCCGGTGGTAACAAGCATGGGCTTTCTTGCTTCTTTCACTGTTCCTTGATAAGTGATAAGAGAAGCTCCATTTGGACATTTTCCCCAAGCCAGTCAAATGTTAAAAGCTGGCATACAGTAAGTGCAGAAAGATGCAAAGAAGAAATGAGGTTTGACTGTGGGAAGGGAGGCAAAAAATCATCATTATTTGCAGTACATTTCATTGTCTACCCTGGGAACACTCAAGAGAATCCACTAAAACATGAATAAATTTAAGGAGAGAGTTCAGAAAAGAGTTCAGTAAAGTGGCTGAATAACAATAGATTTCCTGCAAGCTAGAGCAACAACAGATTGAAAGATAAAAATGAGAGAAAATGTATTTATGATGGCAAAAAAGGACAAAATCCCTAGGAATAACTCTTCTAGAAATTCATAGGCTCAGCTGGACATGGTGGTATAGTGTAGCTGTTTGGGAGGCTGAGACTGGAGAATCGCTTGAGTCCAAGAGTACATGGCCAGCATGGACAAGATAGCTGAGGCTCCATGCAAAGTAAACAAGTGACATTTGGCTTTAGTACTCAAAAGTATCTATAGATTATAGATTTACAGATTGAATGAAATATTTATTCAAATTCCAAACTCATTCTGTACAGCAATAGAAAAAATATCCTAAAATTCATATGGAAATACAAAAGGCTCTAAATTGCCAAAATAACCTTGACTAAAAAGAAAAAAGCTGGAGGTATCATACTATTAATTTCAAAATATATTTCAAAACTATAGTAATCAAAACAGCATAGCACTGGCATATAATCTGACATGTCAATAAATACAACAAGGTAGAAAATCCAGAAGTATTTGAATTTTTTCTACAGTCAATTGAATTTTTTCTTTTAGTATTGAGGATTGAATCCAAGGCCTTCATGCTGAGCTACAGTGTAAAACCCATTTTCATTTTGAGACAGGGTCTCACTAAGTCAATAAGTTACCCAGATTGGGTTCATACTCGCAATCTTCCTACCAGACTACTAAGATTAGGTGCCTGAATACAGTCAACTGATTTTTTTCAGTTATTTGATTCTTTACAAAGGTGCCAAGAACATACAATAATAAGCAGTGTCGGAAAAATTCAATATTCATATCCACAAAAATAAAGATGGACCTTTTCCTTGCTTCCTATATAAGAATTAACTCAAAATGAAGTGAAAATTAAATGTGGGTCCTGAAAATATAAAAGTACTTAAGAAAATATAAGGATAAATCTCTACTTCATTGGTCTGGGCAAAGACTTCTTGGATGTGACTCTAAATGCATAGATAATAAAAGAAAATACATGCAAATGAGATTAATCAAACTAAAAATTTCTGCCCCATAAATAAATGGTAAAGTGGGACCCAGGTATTGGGAGAAAATATTTGCAAACATATTTTGTTTTTTGGTACTGGGGATTGAACTCAGGTCCTCACACTTGTCAGGCATTTATGCTGCTGATCCAAATCCCCAGCATTATTTGCAAATCTTAACTGTAACTATTAAATAACGGATCTTACTCTACTATGTGATAACAAACCCATTGGGAGCAGACTCAATGCCTCATTTAACTGCATATTCCTATAATGTTTAACTCACTTTTATGTACATTGTAGGCACTCTGTAGAGGTTTTTTTAATCAAGAAAGTGTATGAAATTCTTTCATCACAAATGCAAAAAATTATTAAATCTTAGTGTTGAACTCTCAGAAGTATTTGCATTTAAATTCATCAGTTCCTGTGGGAGTAATAAAACCCAAAATGTGTAATTGTCATTCTACCAAAAAAAACGAAAAGAAAGTGTTCTAAAGGTTATAACTGCATATATATTTAAGTGTATAAGATAGATAACCATATTACTGAGTGCTTTTTTGGATCATTGAACAAAACTGTTTGCACTCTCACTGTTTGAAAGTCCACTTTATGTGCTTCAATTTTGTAGTTTGAACAACTATTTCTAAGATGAGAATATGTAATCTATTAACTAGTGATTTCTTACTGTTTATTTTTAAATTTTATATTATTTGTACCCTCTTTCTGTTTTTTTCTTTTTCTCCTTAAATAAATAAAAATGAACAAATAAATAAATTCATCATTTCCATCCCCTTCCTTGTAATGTATGGATCTAGTGCACAAAAAGCATTGCTTGAGGTACTATGGGGGATACATCAAATGCTACAAATCTTATGATTTGTAGAGTGGATAAGGAAGGTAGAAGCATAAAGAGACAAGATTCACTGAAGTATTATTATGTTTTAGATACTATGCTAAGTAATTTGCATGTATAAAATTTGTTTTCTTTATATATATATTTATTAGTATTTATTTTAAATAAAATGTTGAATTTCAATGTGATATTTTCATATATGCATTTAACACATTTTGATCATATTTATTCTCCCTTTGTGTGTGTGTTGCTGTGGATCAAACCCAGGACTTCAAACATACTATGCAAGGGTGCTATCACTGAGCTACATTCCCAGCCTACCTGCCCGGAACTCGGTTTTGTTTTGTTTTTCTGACCTAGGATCTCACAGTGTAGGCTGACCTTAAATGTGCTTATGTCTAGGCCAGCTTTGCATTCACTGCGATCCTCCTGCCTCAGACTTCTGAGTGCTGGGATTATAGGTGTGTGCCACTATGACCAATTTGCCTGAAATTCTTACAACAAATCTTTGAGACATAAATTTCTGCTCACATTTTATAAATGTGGAAATGGAGGCTCAAGTAAATAGTGACTTATCCAGATCTACATAATGCCAGATCTAGGATTCAAACTCTGAACCTTCTGGAATACCATGAGTGCACACTAAGCAATATGAGGTAAATAAGTGCCATATTAATGGTGCAGAATATTATAGGAGAGGCACAGAGCACTAATTAAGAGACTGGAATCCAGAGAGGACTCCAGAGGGAGAGGAAGGAAGAGGAAAGGGGAAACAAAAAATTAAGATGAGTTATATGCATGTACCAGCTCCCTAAAAATGAATGTAATCATTATGTACTACAAACATATACTACAAATAGTACTAATAGTTTAAAAATTCTAGGTTTGAATCTTGGCTTTCCACTCTTAAACAAGTTACTTAACTTCCCCGGGCCTCAATATTACCAACCATAAAATGGGACGTCATACCTAGCACAAGGTATTACTGTAAAGATTAAATGAATTAATACAAGCAAAGGACAGTGTCTTGTACCTACTGAAGACTTGATAAATATTGTGTTTTGTCATACAAAATAGGAGGAAAAAATCATATCTGGCTGGGAATGGATTAGCAGACTATATGGAGGAGGTGACACTTGGGAAAAGGCTGAATGCTGATGAGGAGTAGTGATGGGAAGTAGTGATGAATAAAGTTAGGAGTGGCAGCAAACCTCAGGTGATGTGGAGCCATGGGTAAGTAGGCAGATGAGGGGTGGCATGCAATAGCGGTGGCTATCACAAGAGAAATCTTCAAAAGAGACAAATGAAATGTGAAGAGTTTTCAATGCTATATTAAAAACTCTGTAGGTTAAGGACTGAGCAATGGGGACCATTCAAACGTTTTGAGGAAGAGGAAAATAAAGCCTTCCTTAGCTGCAGTCAAAACAGGCAACTGCACTTTTATCCTATTGTTACCAACTTCAGACATTAATGGACCTTGAGGAGTAGTATTTTGAGAAAACAAAAAGAAAGGGAGAAGTGAGTAAAAGCCAGTGAACACTAAAAGAGGCTAGGTGAGTGGAGGAAATAAAGTGTGTGTGTGTGTGTGTGTGTGTGTGTGTGTGTGTTTGTGTGTGTGTGTGTGGTGGGAAGCACTTGAAAGTACATCTTTCTTAATTCTTCACTCTGTGACCACTCAGTGACTGAACTAGAAGCATAAGCTACCTTTTCTTTATTTGAAATTTGAAGTTCTCACCTCAGTTTAAGATTTCATTTAACTTCTGGACTGTCTTTTGGATCTGCGAAGTGCAAGCGTAGGGCATTAGGACCCAGCGAGTGCTGTAGTGAGAGTGGCTGAATCTCGATCTTTCAATTTTTCTCTAGAGCTCTCCGCTCTCCTTTTGTCACTCTAGCTGCCTGCTGCCTCCGCATCGTAGCTCTAGCTCTCCCTGTGCTAACCGCCAGGCCAGCTCGGAAAGCAGGAGGATTAACTGGGACCTGCCTTGGTGACCACATGGCATCCCCCAGAACCATAACTATCGTGGCCCTCTCAGTGGCCCTTGGACTTTTCTTTGTTTTCATGGGGACTATCAAGTTGACCCCCAGGCTCAGCAAGGATGCCTACAGTGAGATGGTAAGTGAAGCAAAAGGGTGTTAAGGAGCGCACCCCAACGGAATTGTGAGTACATCTCCCCTTCTTTCACCATGTCTGCTCCTATTCCCTTAACCTATACCCCCACCCTAGGTCCTCCTTTGGCCCCACAAGTTTGCACCTCAGAAGGAGCAGCCAGACAAGAGTGATTTCATTTGCGGGCTGTGCTGGGAACAACTGTTTTGGAGCCGCTGAATACAAATTGGGGGAGGGGCTGCCCAGCGATTACCGCCAACCACAAGTAAACCTGAATGCTGACATCTACGCAGCACCTGCAGCAGGAGCCATTCCTTCTTTCCAGCACACACCCAAAGTGCGGACCACCAGTCCAAAAAGTCTGACCCTTTCGTTTGGAACTAAGAGTTTAGCATACTAGAGAGTTTATTTATTTTAGGGAGGAACAAAGGGGAAAGAGAGAAAGAGCTGAGAAGAATGGGCTGGTAAAACGAGCAATTTGTAAGGGCTGGCTAGATATACATTCCAGGCATAGAGCTCATAGTATTCCTCTATTCCTCTGGATATATATCTGGATTCTTGAGACAAAGCAGTCTTAGCTCAAATAAAGGTCACTGAGCTATTGCTTCTGTCCCTTCTCTCAAGAGAGAGCTGGATGCTTTGTTTTATTTTGTTTTGTGTGCAGGCAAATTTGCAAAATCTGAAAAGTCTGCCTTTTCTCTCCTGCAAAACAGTCCATAATCCCCACTGTGCCTCCTCTGGATGCCCAGGGTCAGGCCCTCTGCAGGGTTTTCCCTCTGCAGAGCTGGAATCACCAGAAGGTGACTGGACAAAACCTGGAGGTGGGGATGCTTTCCCTGCAACCTGGAGGTTGGGCTGCTTTCCTCAGTTGGATGTGCTGTGGGATACTAGGAAATGGCAAGGGATGTTTCCAGCACTTTCTGTCTCTCGCCTCTCCCTCTGTCACTTTGTCTCTTCATTTCCTGGCTGCAGCTAAAAGGAACCTGCTCAAAGCCTTTTCCAGACTTCCAGTAGTGGGAGGGAGCACAAAACTGGGTTCTCAAGGTCAAGAAGGAAATGAGCTTTGGGAAGGAGCACAAGGGGAAGAAAAAAGAGCAAGGAGTCCCTGTTAGGGCTGAGGCAAAGAAGAATAGCTTTACATGTTGTGAAGAATTAATTCCTCTCTTGGAGCTTACTGCAGAGCTTTCCAGGGCCCCTCATTATGAGCTGCAAATGGATGGAGACTGGCAAATGATAGATGCCCTGAAAATGTTAGCAGGCAGTGCTGGCTTCTGTCCCCGAATTTGAGCTTGAACTCTCCGTTCTTCCTTACCACACAATCACCCTGGTGATGAGGATGGTAGCTGAGACTCAAGGTTTAGGCATAGACCCAGTGGCAAATCCTAATGTGCTTCTCCTTTTCCCGTCTGCTCCACGGAGAATGCCTGACCAGATGGGATTGAAATCAGGTCAAAATAAGTATCCCCAGCCTCCCGCATGGGTGGGAGGTTAAGGTAGGAGGTGTGAGGTAGCAAAAGCTACCAAAGGGGTTGAAGAAACTGGGGCAGAAGGACAGAGTGGAGGGGAAATGCCACTATATTTTTGTCTTGGCTGTAGTTTAGTGTTAGATTATAAATAAATGAATATGCTCATGCCTTACTTTTCGTATATAAATATATACTTTATATACTATAATTGTTTTTAAGCTTTCCCCTTTCCTTATGGACATGGTACCCACTTCAGTACACTTCCTAGACCTTACTCAGCTGCCTTAGAGGTCCCCCCAAGAAGCCCCCTAAATACAGTGTTAGGGTGTGCAGGCAATTCAACTAAGATGGAGTCACCGGGAAGCTTCCTACCAGGATGGCAGGAGCTCACGAAGAGGACCAGCCATAAATGCATTTACAGTAGGTTTCCTCCTAGGGAGTAGAGCTGTTTATTTTTGCCTAAACAACAAAAAAGGAAAAATAAACATGAAGATTTCATATCATAAACATGAATATATTTAAATAGTTATCTAACACAGCAGCATAGATTCATTATGTGTGTAGATTGTGTGTGTGTGTGTGTGTGTGTGAGTGTGTGTGTGTGTGTATGTATACCTCTGTACACACACATTTGATGCTTCTGTGCTTGGGCACCTGGAGGGCACCTAGAAAGACTACACCTAACTGTGAGGCAGGAGGCACAGCGATGTGAAGCTTAAAGAGGATTTTCAAACTTCCTTTTTCAGGATCCCTCCCGTACTGGGCATCAGCCCAGTGCATAGTGCCTAGACTTGGCACAGCTTTCTTCCTTAGCCCATAGAAAAGTAAGGGGTTCAGTTATAGTACAAAGAAGGTCCTATATATATTCACAGAATGGATAAGTAAATGAAAGTCATTGCAGCATTGCCTTAGCTAGTCACCTTCAGATTTTTCTGATTTGCATTTGATCATGCAGTTCAGATATCATTTTTTGCTACTTGGAAGGACCAACACTCCCTCAGATCCCCAAGCCTAGATCAAATGGGATGATTGTCTGGAATTTCCATTTAGGAGTGATTCCTCTGCATTGATAGTGAGTCATGTATTGACTTCAGTGATATTTCTCAAAGGATCTCAAAGTGTTGTTGTTGTTAATCATTTTTTAAAGATTATTTGTTCTTCAAAATACAGGACTGAGGATGTAGCTTCAGGGCACAATGCCTGCCTGACAAGCGCGAGTTTGTGAGTTCAACTCCCAATACAAAAAAAAAAAAAATTCTGTAAGGTAGATTCATTTTATTAATTATATTACTAACAGGTGTATTGAGGCCCAACAAGTTTTGTGACTCTTCCAAGGTCATAGGTAAGCTACTGGAGCAGATATTAGAGATCAAGTCCATGACTGAATATTCCTAGTAGTGGGGTCATTAATGGTTAAAACTTTTGAATTTTCTGGATTCCAGAATCTATAATTGATCCTTGAAAATATCTTGTACATTCTTACCTCCCATTTCTGTATCAGTTCAACTCCCATGTATATATATATATATATATATATATATATATATATATATATATATTTGGGGGGGCTCTTATTTACATTTGAATCATTTTTTGTGTGTAGGAGGGGCATGGTACTGGGGAATGAACCCAGTTCTTTCACACTGAGCTATATCCCCACCTCTTCATTACTTTTTTATTTTTGAGACAGGGTCTTGCTAAGTGTCTAAGCTGCTCAGGCTTGGTTCCAAGATACAATCATCTTGCTTTATCTCCCAGAGTGTTGGAATTACAGGGCTGTGCCACCAGTCTTGGCTTCAGAACCAAAGTTTTCAAATTTAGTTTTTTGCTTTTGCTTTTCTGCTATTTTTCTCTTGTAAGAACATTAGTGTTATGCTTAGGTGTTACCCCCTTCATGGAGAATAACTGTTAAAAACCAAAATGACAAATAACTATGAACTTTTTCACTGGCTCTATTGAAGAAGCCAAGAAAGGTTGGTGGAAAGACTGCAGACCTTGGATTTATATAGACGAATTTGATATTCTCAGTCCCTTTATTCATAAAATGGGAATAATGATGCCAGCCTTAAAAAGTTGTAAATATTAACTGAGATTGCATATAAAAGTGTACAATGCAGTATTTGCTATGGTAGGAGTTGAAGAATTGCTCTGGGTGAGGTGATGATAGTTGATTTTATTCTATACAATAATTTTCTAACTAATTTGAATAGTCAGGTTAAGGGATAGAAATCAAGCATTTAGGAGAGCAAGGTGTTATTTTCATATGTACAGGTGAACAGTGCCCAATCAACTAATAATGAAAAGTCAACTTGTTTTACAATACACAGTGGATCCCATGTAGAACTGGTAGATGCAACTCTGAATAGGCCATTTGGCATGTGTTGTCTCATAACTCCCTCAGAATATGCTATTATTATTATTACTACTATTATTTTTATTATGTTTTTTGAGACAGGATCATGTTATATAGTTCACCTGGCCTTGAACTCCAAATGTAGCCGAGGCTGGCCTTGAACTCGTGGTAGTCCTTCTGTTTCAGCCTCCCAAATGCTGGAATTATTGTCATGTATCCCTGTGCCTGGCCAAGAAAAAGCAAATATTATAGAATACTCTAAATTCCACATGAGTCCAAAATGATCACCTACTCCTTTAACTAAATGTTTTCAGTAATTCATTTGGACTGAGAGACAGTACTTTATAGGTGCCACTAAGTACTTTTGTGTTCAGTGACTGGGAACATATGGATGCTTAATTTACATTAAATTTGATATTCAGCTTTCTGTAGTAGTGGTTCCATTCTGTAAACCCTGGGAATTATGTATGGAATTGTTAAAAAATAGCAAAATTCTGTCAAAAGAAGCCAAAGAATTTTGATTCTGAGGATAATGGAGCAAGTGACTATTTGTTTTTGCAGCCTCTTTTAGTAAGAATTCATTGGTTTGACTGATTTAGTTATAAGTTGTTAAAGTCCTCCTTTTTATGTAACCTTGGAGAAATACTCCCAACAGTTTATTTCATTTTCATAGGCAATCTTTTAAGTTTTCATTCATTGGCATAAATTGCTTGTCAGCTAGTCTAATATTTAGACTGCTCTCTGAGGTGGTAGAGTACATTTATTGCCTTAGAGAAGAAACTCAGACCTGAAATGTGAAGTGACTGCTTAGTTCATGCAATCAACCATCAGGAGCTCAACTATACATCTGAGTTTATGTCAGGGAACTTGTGGATTCTCACTGTGGCCCAATGGCAGAGTTTGTTTCAGAGTAACTTTTGACAAGAGCAGAAAGCACTCTTCTGCCTTAATATGCAATGTGAAAAGAATCCACTTAATAGAACCAGCTTCTACTTTAGGTGGGCACTAAAGCAGAATATAAAGTAGAATTGGTTAAAAGATGTGTATCATTCATATGTATATTTGACAATTAAATATGGGATAGGATTTTATTGCATTTAAACAATAATCTATTATTCAGAGATAGCTTTATTTTTCCCACAGAGATTCAGGAAAATAATACATGAGTCAGTAAATTTATGCTGATG